GTTTATTTTTAGTAATTTTAATTTAATTTTTAAAATTTTAAATAAAAATTTTAGATAAAAATTTAATAATTTAATATACAACAATTGAAAAGTTTTTTTTTTCTATTTGAACTTAATTTTGTTGAGTATTTTTATTTACTTAAAAATATTTTAAATATCATTAATATAATATATTAAATTTTCATTTGAAATTTATGTCTAACAAGTCAAAAAATCAAATTGTCAAATTAAAACTATTAAAAATTAAATGAATGAAGTAATATTTATTATTTAGTAAATTAAAATTAGTTTATAGGTCAATATTTCAGAAAATCATAACTAATTATAAAAAAAATTATTATAAACTAACAAAATATCAATCAAATTAAATAATATTTATATGGATTGAACAAAATAATGAGGGGTCATAGGCCCACAACCACACCTTAATAGTAGCACTTAATAAACTAAACTTAATTAAGGAAAATATCAATAATAGTTAGTTTCAATGAAAAGAATTTAATTCATTTAAAATAAAATTTTGAATTCAAATCTCGATAAATTGATTAGAAGATAATTTTATTTTATGAATGAGGATTTAATATGATTTCTAAATGCATAAGTTTAGTACAAAAAATCCTGACTAAAAATAATAATCAGTCCTAATTAAGAATAATAATCAGTCCTAATTAAGAATAATAATCAGGCTTAATTAAGACTACAAGTTGGGTCCCATAACATGCCGCGCGCGCACCATTCATGACCGAAAGGCGAGGCATCGCAAATATAGGAGAAAACAAAATCAAACTACTAATAATATTAAAAAATGGGATTTGGACCAAATTGAAGTGATTTGATGCGGAAAAATAAGAAAGTGTGGTACAAAACAAAAGGGTACTTGGTATCAATTATCAAGTGCATGTTAGTAATTATAGCTGTTGTATTTATATAAGGCACTATTATGAGATGATATTTTCCAATCCATGGGCACGGATGATCTATTTTCTCACCGGAAACTGCCCCCCACAAACGCTGCTCACGGCCATTAATCATTCCGTCCCCACCACACCCTTGTCCTATAAGACATGGACCCGCGGACCCGGCTAGCCAGCTTGTACCTAATTGGACTTCAATTCCATAATGAACCCACTCAATATTTCCTTTTCTTCTTTTTAGTAAAAAAACACAAATACAAATGCGAAGTATGCATGAATGATTAAAATCTAAGAAGTAGACATGACTAACTTTTCTTTTCTTTTTTTTTAATGGTAGGAAACATATTAGTGACTTAGTATTTATTTCTGTACTTATCAAAGAGTTAACTTGATAATTATGTGATGCATTTCACCTTACTTCTCACACAAAAAAAATGTGATCATTTGAACAATTTGAGGGAGTGCGACATGACTAACTTTATTCTCTTAATAATATATAAATAGTTTTCGTGATAAACTTGTTTCATAATCATATAAATCGTTCGTACATAATATTATTCCTATATTGATAACCATAAACGATAAAATGAGAAATATATGATTGGGGAGAAGGGAAGCTTCGTGGCAAAGGAGGTTTCAGGCACCGACCAACGTCGGGGGAGCTTATAATAAGGGTATTAAATTAATTAAGGTGATGATGAGGGGGAATGGTTCTTAAAAAAGGCCAGGCTTATGCACGAGGGCCTGCCTGCACTATAATACGTACAAGATTCCCAATTTAATGAATAACTTACCATTATTGGGAAGAACGTGAGTACTGAAATCTGTCTTTGCACTGAAGCCTAGGTGGAAATTCAAATTAATTAATCTCAAACTCCATGAATCATCATGATTGGCTTTAGAGCATGATTGAAATTAATCTCTATTCCGTACATCCTACTTTTCGTTGCCCTATTCCTAATGCTCTTTTTATTCAGTTGTTATCAACCTAGGCATAGACGTGTAATTAAGTATCCTATTTATTACACATTAATTTGTTTGTGTATGTATTAGGCATTAATACACATACACACTTGAACTCAACTCAAGTTTAAATTTGATTCAGTAAATTTAATTTAATCAAATTAATTTTTTAAAAGAATAATAATTGGTATATTTTTTATTTAATATATTTTATTATATATTTATTAAAAATTATTATTTTAAAATTTAAATTTAATGCAAAAAAACTTAAAATTTTGAATTTTAAATTTTAATAATTGAATAAGTGAATATTGAATAATATATTGAACTAAAAGATATACAAATCATTTTTCTTTTTCAAACTATCCTTTGTCTTTTACCAAAAAAACTATCCTTTGTCAATTGATTTTGAAAGAGGAGATCAATTATCGATGTTCTTTAGAGATGCACTCATCTTGATCATATATATGCATGAGAAAAAAGAAGAAATTTGAAATGAATTTTCCCTTTCCATACATAGCTTTCATTCCTCAAATGATAAAAGGCCTTAGTTGAAGTAGAGAGTCACAAAATTGGGTGATATATATATCATACATAGACCCACCCAAAAATGGTTGGTGAAATGTCATGTGCTTGGATTTTGAGATTATGTGCATTGTCTAAATCATGGCTCATCTTTTTATATGAATCCAAATTTTAGAATTTGTGGTGCCAGAGAAAGAACTAATTTGGGGGGTCTAGAGAGAATAAAAAAAATCCAATCGAAATTGTCCCCTCCTACTTTCAATGCATAGAAGAAAGAGACTATATTCCTTGATTGCATAAAATCTTTGCTCAACACCAAAGTACGAGTGTAATTTCAACAATGGATTTCTGACCAGAAAAAGAAACAAGCGCGTTGACGTCGATGAGATTTGCACATATTATCTTCCTTTTTGATGATTAATTAGCAGGTATTTATCACATGTTTGTCTTTAAACAAACCAGATCTGATAAGTACCTTATATAGTACAATATTTATTTATCCAGAGTGTAATTAAAAAAAATTTCACCAAAAAATACTTGATATATGACAAATAAAATGAACTAAAGATAATAATCATGACATTATCTCTTTTTTTATATCTAACTAATCTTGTATATTTTGTTAATAAGTTGAATAATTTAATAATAATAGTAAAGATAATAAATTTTAAATTCAAATAATATAATATAAAAAAATAAATAATTACCTTCTATTTTGTAATTAAAATAGAAAGACTAATGTCATATATTTTCATGCGTATTTTCCTCACCGACTCATTCAACCCAAAAAGTGCATGATGAACTTGACCCTGTAGGTCAAGTGGTTTTAGTTATTTTTATAAGGTTTATATTCTCTTCTTCAAAGGTAATGGTTCGAGCCGATCTTATGATTAAATGTAAATAAATAAATAAATAAATAAAAAGCCAAAAAAGCGCGTAATAGCGATATAATTTTATTAGGCCTTTCCAAGTCTCAGTTTAGTGGAAGAATTTGGACCCAAATTGACTCTTGAACGAAAATTCCCACTCCATTGGACCTCAATCAAATGAGGCCTCCTAATTCAATGTTTTCTAGACAAGTGTGAGACCACTAGTCCACAATACTTGATTAATGGGTCCGTAAAACTTAAACCCAGAACCATAGGAAAACCCCATACTTTCTCAAAATTATGTGGACTAAATTACAATTTTAGTTCCTAAAATTTATGGAGAAAGATTTAAGCCCCTAAGCCATTCGTAAGCGGTGAGCCCTCAAACAACTCGACGGTAAATAAATAAACCATTTTATGACGGTAGCCTTCACTGTCTGCTAGTTAATTCAATAAAAAAGGTGGGTTAGTTTTGATGTGGTCCTTGAACTTCTTAAATTTGGAAACTTTAGCTTTAAAAAAATTACTTTCCAAAAAAGCTTCATCCTTCCAATTCAGATATCCATCTTGAGAAGCTTCAAAAATAGAGAATGTTTGGGTAGTTTTAC